CACGCGCGGCAGGAAGTCGCCGGGGAAGTCAGAAGGCCTGCGCGGTCATCCCGTCGAGACCGGAGGTCACCGCGCGCAGCGCCAGCACCGAGTCTAGGTGGGCACATCGCCCATCACGCCCACCGAGCGTACCGGCGCAGCATCGGCGAAGGCTTCCGCCAGATGGGTACATACAGCCCGGCCTTGCGGATTTCCTCGAGAGGATGGCATCCGCCTTGGCAGGATATCCGCAGAAGGTTCCTTGGTCACCCTCGCCGGGGATGCGGATGGCGAGGCCGGGTCCGGGGAACGGTGGCGGCCGACGAACACGTCAGGCAGCCCCAGTTCGCGACCGAGCACGCGCACCTCGTCCTTGAACAGCTGCGCAGCGCCGACCCAGGCTTCATGTTCATCCGCTCGGGAGGCCGCCGACATTGTGGTGGCTCTTGATCGTCACCGACGGGCCACCGGTGAAGCTGACACCTCGATCACGTCCGGGGCACAGCGTGCCCTGCGCCGAAACTCCGCACCGCCGATCTTCACTGGCCTCGGCCTCAGGCACGCCGATGAAGGTCTTGCCGATGAACTTGCGCTTGGCCGGGTCGGTGACGCCGGCCGGGCCGCCCATGAACAGCTCCTGCGCGTCCATGGACGAGCGGGATGTTGTAATGGCCGCGGAACAGGCTGACGACCTGCTCGGCCTCGCCCCGGCGCAGGATGCCGCCATCGACGAAGACGCAGGTCAACTGGTCGCCGATCGCCTCATGGATCAGCAACGCGGCGACCGACAAGATCGACCCCGCCCGACAGACCTGCAGATCCTGCCAGCCACTGCCGACCTGTTCGCGGATCAGCGATCTTGGCCTCACGGAACTCGGCCATCGTCAATCGCCAGTCAGCCCGACGACATGGCGCGCGAAATTGGCGACAGCTTGGCGCCATCGGGGTGTGCACCACCTCCGGATGGAACTGCATCGCATAGATGCGGCGTTCGTCATTGGCGATGATCGCATAGGCGCGCCGGGCTGGTCGCGACAAAAGCCTCGCGCCAGTGCGGGTGACCTTGTCGCCATGGCTCATCCAGACCTGATGCCGCTCACCTTGCGCCCAGAGGCCATCGAACAGCGCGCAGCCGTCCTCGACCGTAATGAACGCCTCGCCGAACTCGCCGCTATCGCCCTTCTCGACCTTGCCACCCAATTGCTGGGTCAGCGCCTGCTGGCATAGCAGATGCCGAGCATCGGCAGGCCGCTGTCGAGGATTCCTTGCGGGATGCGCGGGGACTCGGCATCGACCACCGAGGCACCGCCTGAGAGGATGACGGCCGCAGGCTTGATCCGCGAACGCCGCTTCGGCCGATTGAAGGAACGACTTCATGGAGCCCCGCCTCGCGCACGCGGCGCGATGAGCTGGGTGACGACTGCTGCCGAAATCGACGGTGAGGATGCTGTCGGGGTGCTCCATGGCGGTCCGATAGCGATGTCTTTTTGGGAAATGCTACCGGGCCGACGGGCTTTGAAACGCATCGGTCGCGATCCATGCCGGGGGGCCTGCGTATCGACTCGACAATGGAGGGCCCGAACGCACCCCTTGCCGTACCCGTTCGGATTCGTCCCCGTACGAGCAGCCCCATCCCGCGCCACCATCGCATATCCTTCGTCGAAGGGCAGGAACGACGACAGCATCCGAGCGCGGGCCGGGAAACAGAGAAGGGGCGTGCCGTCACCAACACGCCCCATTTTTGAAATCAGGGACAATAGCATAACTTAGCAGCGACGGCCGTGCTCATTACGGCCATTGGTATTAATAATTGAGCGTCCGGCTATTCGGTGCAATATTGGCAGCATGCGGGCTGTCGCCGGTAGGCGGGGTGTATGATGCTCACTCCGGTACAGGAATTTGGTGCCGGTGACGGCCCCGCCGGTTGCCAACTCCAGCGTCTCATAGCGCCCGGCGTTGCGGTGACCGTCCCAAAACAACTTGCGCCCTGCGGAACCGCGCGGGAGATCGTCGCGCTGTTGGTGCCCGACACCGCCCCAGATCCGAATAGGCAACCTTTGGTCCCATTCTCGATCGCGACGAGCGCGAAGCGCCAGCCGCCTGATTGGCAGTGGTATCTCCGGTCAACGTGACCTGTACGGTTCCGCCATTGGCCGTCAGCGGGATCAGATGCGTGCCGAACTGCAACAGAGGCCGCGCCGGCGAGGACTATATTGGTTCGCGCCCGACCTTTTCCGCCAAGGGCGCATAGAGATGCGAGGCCAAGGTCTGCGTCGCCGAGGCGGTGGTCGCATCGATCAGCGCGCGTTGATCGATGAAGTCCATCCCCGCCAGCCGCGCGCACCATACCAGCCCATGTCATTGGCAGAGGAGGCAAAGCCATGGGGATAGACGCCACGCCGTCGGGCCCAGCCGTACGAAGGCCTGCAGATAGTCTCCGTCGTGGCGCCCTCGCTGTCACGGAGATTTTTGGGTCCACTCTCCCAGACGAACGGCCCTGCGTCAGATCCTGTTCGTACAGGAAGGACATGAAGGGTTGCGCCCCATAGCGCGCGATCGACCAGAGCGGCCCGTTTTCCAGATTGTTCAGATAATAGGCAGGAATCCCACGTAGTTGGGCGACGGGACATAGGCGTTCCATTCCGCCCCGACTTCCCCAGATCGGCCCGGCATCGGACTTGTCGCGAAAACCGCCGGTATAGAATGGATGACATGGCCGAATTCGTGGATCGTCGTCACGCCACCGGCCTGAAGATTGAGCGCGCTGGACCATCCCCGCCGCGGCGCTGGCGCCGCAATCCCCATATCGCCATCGTTGAAGAACGGTATGCCCGTGCCACAGACATACATGTTGATCTTTTTACGGTTATCCCCCGTCCTGATGGGGCATGGGGCTGCGAGTATGTCGCGATTCCCACAGCCAGATGGCTTCCAGCCACTGGGCGATTTTGTTCGATCAACTGGTTCCAGTCGTTCCCGGTGTCGCGCGCCCAGCGATATTGAACCCGTCGGTTTTCGCCGTACCAGAAGGTGAAGTGCTGCGTCTCCACCTTGCGCACCGTGCCGGCATCCGGGGCTTCGCGGCTGGTCGGCTCCAGATCATAATCGGTGTCGTAGCTGGCCGTATCCTCGGACAGGGATGCTTATCGGCTTCCTGCTCGATCGCGACGTCGTTGTCCGACAGCGACGACAGGCGGAAACAGCGGCAGCATCCATCGGCCATTTCGAACTCGGCGACTCGGCACTTTCTCCGATTAACCTCGCCCAGACGAGCCAGCTGGAAGAGGCGGGAGCCATAGAAGCCTTCAGCGGGGCCCGATGGGGTTCGGCGGTGCGTCGGACGATAGCGGCGTCGGTACGGAGGCAAACGCCCCATGGGTTGTAGCTGGAAGTAGCCTTGCACCGTTTACGGGCTGCTGTACTGGCGCCAGCTGCGGTCGCGACTGGCCCGCCACCGGTCGTTCCGACCTCATCCGCCCCCCCGCACGCGACAAATAAAAGCGCCGGAATCAAGCATATCTTGCGCATCACGCCCCCTTGTTACCGTTCTGGCCATTCTTTTTATCTGTGAAGAAGGAAATCGGCATATTACGCTGATAAGTGAGCAAGACCAAGCGATGTGCGGTTTGACGCTGGCGGACCGCGAAACGGCCCCAGTATGAAAGGGCCGCGCCATCACCGGCACGGCCCCTTTGTCGAAGGTCTTCGAAAGACGCGAAAATTACGCGGCTTCGTCGAAATCTTCCTCGGTCATCACCGGACCCGATCACGCCCCTTCGCCGACGTCACGGTCGACGAACTCGATGATCGCCATTGGCGAGGCGTCCGACGCGCGATGCCAGCCTGATGATGCGGGTATAGCCACCGTTGCGGTCGGCGCCAGCGCGACGCCAGAACGTCGAACAGCTACGAGCTGCGCGTCGTCGAGCAGACGGGCATGGCCAGACGGCGGTTTGAGAGACCACCCTTCTTGGCCAGCGTCACCAGCTTTTCGACGCGGGACGCAGTTCCTTCGCCTTGGCGACGGTGGTGGTGATCTGCTCGTGCTTGATCAGTGAAGCCAAGCCGCCATGTTGGGAAAAGCGCGATACGATGAGCGCCGAGGGTACGCTGCAGCTACGGCCCGCCGACGCATTGCGATGGGTAGTTCGCTTTCGTTCGTTAAGCCGTTTGACGGCAATTTCAGACCGGTAGCCCGTTAGAGGCCGCTACCTTCGCCTATCTCGTAGTCATCCCAGCAGAGCGGGAGATCGGCCAGGCCGGATCACAGCGAAGGCCGCGATCCTGACGTCCGGGCGGGGTCGCCCGTAGGCGACTCAGCCGGCCGGGCTTTGCCGTCCGCGGATAGCGTCGCTATCCGCGTGCGGCTGCAACCCATGATCTCCTGTTCCAGCTTGGCCATTTCCTCGATATTCTCAGGCGGCCAGCCGGGGATTTCCATGCCCGAGCGCAGACCCGCCGGACGACAGCACTTCCAGATCTCGTTCAGCGACCTCGGCCGCCGAAATTGAGGTGCGCAGCATCTCGGCTTCGGTCTTGCCGACCAGATCGCCGATATAGATGATGTTGTCGTTCTTGGAGCAGTTCGCCGAACGCACCGACAGCTCCAGCTCGTCGACAGCTTCTTGAGAAGGTAACGATTGATCTGCTGCGCGTCGGCTCTGCGGCTGCCACCCAGCGGCAGGGATCGCCGCCTCGACGCCCTGGGAGCCGCGCAGGTGAGCGCCGGGTCGTCGAAGTGCAATTTAAGCGCCAGCTGGTCCCGAGGTGGATGCGCGCATAAGGCCACGGCGTCTTCCGGGGTGACGGTGCCGTCGGTCTCGACCGGAGCGTCAGCTGTCATAGTCCGAGTCTGACCGACGGGTCGGGTCGACCGCCCGACACCTCCGGCGCACCGGCGAGGCGAGCGCATCGACCGGAATCAGACCGATCGGCACCGGACAGCGGTTGACGCGGCGGGGGACATAGCCCCTTCCGATGTCCGCGGTCAGCTCCATGTTGAGCGTCGCGCCTTCGTCGAGATGGCAGATCACGGGTCCCTTGTTCATGACCTCGATATCGCCCGACACGGCGATGTCGCCGGCTTGACGGTGGTGGGACCGGTCGCCGAGAGCTGGAACGCTTGGGGCCTTCGCCCTGCATGCGGATGGCGAGCTGTGACGTTCAGGACGATGTCGGTGACGTCTTCACGCACACCGGCCAGCGACGAGAACTCGTGCAGGACATTCCCCGATTTGATCGAGGTGACCGCCGCGCTCGAGCGACGACAGGAGAACGCGGCGAAGCGCGCGTTGCCAGCAGGTCAGGCCGACGCTCCAGCGGTTTCGGCAACAAACGTCGCCTTCCGCTTGCCATCGCCGCCCCTTCTTTTCAGAGCGTTGGGCTTCTTCAGTTCCCTGCCAGTTCTTTGCGTTGACGGACACGTGGTTTCCCCCCTGAGTTATGGGCGGAACGGGGACGGTTCCAGCCAAATGAGTAGAGGTATGGCCGACCTTTCGTCAGCCGGCCGTAGCAAGCATCGAACGCGGCGACGCTTGGAAGGCCACGCCGTTGTGCGGGATCGAGGACGTCGCGGATCAGGGATCTGAAACCGACCGCCTGCAGCGCGCGTGCGCCGCTCGCGGCCCGAACCCGCCCTTCCGCTTCGACTTCCGGGGTGCGCACGCCGTGCTCGGCGGCCTTCGTTGCCGGCGTCTTCGGCGGCGACCCCATGGGCGTACGGGGTCGACTTGCGCGAACCCCTTGAAGCCCATGCGGCGACGACTACGAAATGGCGTTGCCTGCGCGTCGGTGATGGTGATCATCGTGTTGTTGAGCTGGCGTTCACATGGGCAACGCCGGCGGTGATGTTCTGCGCTCGCGACGGCGAATGCGCTGCAGTTCACGTGCCATTGGGGAAAATCCTGACCCGGTATCCTGATGCGGAGCGGCGGGCGGTCAGCCACAAGCCTGCCTCCGGCAGGAGTAATTCGTCCCCCGGACGAATTACTTCTTCTTGCCCGCGATCGGCTTCGTCTTGCCCTTTGCGGGTGCGCATTGGTGTGCGTGCGCTGGCCGGTGACCGGCAGGCCTTGCGGTGACACAGGCCGCGATAGCAGGCAGGTCCATCAGGCGCTTGATGTTCATCGCGGTCTCGCGACGAAGATCGCCTTCCACCGTGTGATCGGCGTCGATGGTTTCACGGATCTGCAGGACTTCTGGTCCGACAGGTCTGGACGCGACGATCCGCGGCGATGTTCAGCTTGGCGGTGATTTCCTTCATTGGCCGGACCGATGCCGTGGATATAGGTCAGCGCGATGATCACGCGCTTGTTGGTCGGGATGTTGACACCGCGATACGTGCCATGAAATTTGTTCTCCCTAGCTCACGAAACTGGCATGGCCGCACATGCTCCATCTCAACGCGATGGTTTCCGCCGCAGGAATTGCGACGCCCGCAAATCGCGCGTCGTCAAACCGGGGGTGTTGGAGGACGGCCAGTTAGGGCCCGCGCAACCGCATCAAGCGATCGGTTCCCGAAACTTGAACGATTGGACGCGCTTCAGGTCAACCAGCGCCGAAAGAGACACGAGCGCCCAGACGATCTCCACCACGCCGAACGGCCAAGCGCCCTGCAGAAACCATAGGCCGACCCGCGATGCATCCCAAGACGAAGCGCGTCCACCAATGCGAACCGATTCCATCACTAGCACAGCAGGGTGAAGGACACGGCGGCGAGGCCGAAGGAGAGAGATCCATGGCGGGATGTAAAGCGTTGCAGGATGACCTTAAGCCCGATCCTCCCCGGGTACGGGGGGTGGCAGGCGAAAGGCCTGACGGAGAGGGGCTTCCACAAGCAGATCATTTACGGAACGCCCTCCACCACCGCTGCGCGATGCCCCCGTGCCGAGAGGATTTAGGGTATGATCAACGCGCGATGAGCGGGACCGTTGTCCGCCAGAAGTCGAACCGCCCACCATGCAGCCGCGCCACCGCCTCGATCAGTGCCATGCCCAGCCCCGCCCCGGGCGTCGTACGCGCCGAGTCGAGCCGTCCGAAGCGCTTCAAAGCCTGCGCCCGGTCCGCCTCGGCGATGCCGGGGCCGCGATCCTCGACCCGGAAGACGATGCCCCCCAACCCGCGCGACAGGCGCAGCGTCACCTGCCCGCCCGACGCGCCGTAGCCTCAAGGCATTGTCGATCAGGTTGATAGCTGCCGGCTCATCAACTCACGGTGGATCGGCAACGGCGCCGCCGATCTTCCACTTCAATCGCCGGAAAGCGCAAGCCGGCATCTCGCCGGCGCGTAGAGCTCACTCAATCCTCGACCAGCTCGGCGGGCGCGACCGTGGAAGCGGTCGTCGGTGACCGATTCGGATCGGCTGATCTCGATCACCATGGTCAGCATCACGCTGATCAGGTCGGTCTCGACCAGCAGCCGCCCAGGCGCCGCCTCGCGCTGGTGCGGATCGGCGATCAGCACCGCCTGCTCGGTCTTGGTGCGCAGGCGCGCGAGTGGCGAGCGCAGATCATATGCCAGCTGTCGGTGACGACCCGCAACTCGGCCATCAACTGCTCGATCTTGCCGAGCATGGCGTTCAGCCGCACCGCCAACCGGTCAAAGGCATCACTGTCGCCATCGCCTTCGCGAACCAGCGAGACGCGACGCGACGGGTCGCCCTCGCCGCTGCATCCGCGACCGAAACGATGCTGTTGAGCCGCCCTCACGACATAATGGCCGGGACCAACCCGTGCACCGACCCCAGCATCAGCGACAGCACGACCGCCAAGCCAACGCACGCTCGATCGCGATCTGCTGCGCCTCGATCAGATCGAGGGCGGCCGACCAACAAACCAGTCATCGCCAATCGGATGGAGCGTGTAAGCCCGCCTCGCGCGAGGCCCAGACGCCCCCTGCCCCAGCACGGCGATACGGAATGGCGTGTCGGCCAACGGCACCGCCAGATGAGCTAGTGCATAACCGCGACCCGGTGGCCACGCGCATCGAAGATGGCGAGGACCAAACACATCGCCCGGCTCGCGCGCACGGGTGATCGCATCCAGCCAGCGCGGGCAATGCGCGTCCGCCACACTGCGCGCAGCATCAGTTCGTTCGACGATCTCGGTGGAGCGCGGCCTTACCGCATCGGCGCTGGTCTGTTTCCAGATGAACCCGACCAGCGCGAGGTTCGATACCAGCGCCAGAATGATCGACAGCAGCGCGATCCGCGCCGAGATCACAGCCAGAGCTTCACCTCCACGGCCAGCCGATAGCCGGCACTGCACCGTATGGAGGATCGGTGTGCCAAGCCTTCCAACTTGCGCCGGACCGCCGATATGGACATCGACCACGTTGGAGCCGATCGAAATGATAATTCCAGATCTTCTCCAGCATCATCGTGCGGGTGACGACTTGCCCCGCATGGCGGGCGAGGAATTCGGAGGGAGTTGAACTCCACGCGCCCCGACTGGGATGAGCTTTGCCGCGCGTGTGACCGTGCAGGCCAGCAGATCGATCCCAGATCGCCGACGCTCAGGCTTGGTCCGCGTCGGCTCCGGACGCCGCCCGGTCGGACCGGCGGACCAGCGCCTCGATCGCGCCGACAGCTCGGCGAAGGAGAAGGCTTTGCGCAGATAATCGTCCGCCCCGGCCTTTCAGCCCGTCGACCCTGTCGTCGACCGTGGCCTGGCCGCGGACAGGATCAGCACGGGCGTCGATATGCCCGCGCGCGATCGCGCTGACCATCGCCAGCCCGTCGAGGCGCGGCGGCATCCGGTCGGCGATGATCAATCGAATATGCCTCGCTCGCGGGAACAGGCCGTCGCGTCATCGCCGCACTGCTCGACGGCATAACCCGCCTCTGCGAGTCCCTTGGCGACATAGGCGGTCGGTCAAGCATCATCTTCAACGATCAGGATTTTGCGACTCATCGGTTCATCTGCTCCGGCATCGGACGAGTTTCTCAATCGGCGTCAGCCCAGATCGGTCGCCCCCGGCCGGATTACCGCACCACTCAGGGTCGAGAATGTACCAGCAAAGGCCGGCGAAGCCTCTTTCCGCCGGCCCCGATGGCACCCCCGGGAGTGTCGGGCGCCGAGCTCTCTGAACTCTATGGGCTGCGGTTACCGCGTTCAGCCTTCCCCGGTGACCATATCATCAAAAAATACGTCATCTCTTTCAGGGCGTTACAGGGATCGGATCGACGAGTTGTGGCTTTAACATCATGGTGGGGAGTAACCCTTCCGTAACCATTTGTTTTTTAAGTCTTGGTAACCTTTGTAGGATATACTTGCCCCCATCATGACGGCCGTTCTTTTCCACCGCCCGACGGGTTTGACGAAGAACGCCGGCTGGCAACGCTTCAGGCCCATGGATTTATCGACAGTGAGCCTGGAGGCGATTCGATGCCCTCGTCGTTGGCGGCCGACATGCTCGGATTGCCCCACTGGCGGCACTGACCGCGGACCGCGATCGGTTTTTGGGTGAAGTCGGCGGTCGGCCCCTTGCCGCAGCAGATGCGCGCGAGGTGGCCTTTGCGATTTCACCATCCGTTCGCCCGACCTGCTGATGGTGCCCGACCTGTCGAGCGATCCGCGCTTCGCCATCAATCCCTTCGTCGCGGGCGATCCGCACGCTTATGCCGGCATGCCGATCCGCGTACCCGATCTGACGGCAATCTTCAGCCGATCTGGCTCGCTCTGCGTCATGGACGACACGCCCCGCTTTCGCTGAGCGCGGCAGCGACGACGTTGCGCCACCTCGCCGTCTCGCCAAGCGCTGATCGCCGCGCGCGCCATCGCCCGGCGTGCGACCGACATGGCCGAGTTCAGCGAACGCCGTGCCGAGGAGCCGCGCGCCGAAAGCGCCATGTCCGCTGTGTCGAGCGGCTGGCGATGATGGACTCGCCAGCATGTCGCGTTGAAGGACGGGCGCGACTTTGTCCGATGGCGTCTATCGCATCCACGAGCTGCCGCCAGGCCGCCATTTCTCTCGGTCGAGGAAGGCCCTGTCCCATTATCCCCCGATGCGCGCACGGCGCTGCGCTCAACCATCGAGAATACGGTAGAGACCGGCAATCCGTTCACATCGAACTCGACTTCATCACCGCTCTGGGCTGGCGCCGGCAGTGCGCGTAAGGAGCGCGAAATGCTGGACAGGCAGGTCCATGGTCCGGTCGGCATGTTCCGTGGACGTGACCGAACGCCATGCGCTGGAAACGCAGTTGCGCCACATGGCCGACACCGATGCGCTGACCCTGTTGTCCAACCGGGCGGCGTTCGGACTCGCGCACTGGAGGCGGCGATCGGCGAGGCGGCGGCGGGCCTACCGCTGGCCCGGTGCTGATCGATCTGGACGGGTTCAAGCTGACCAACGATATTGCTGGGCCATCCTGGAGACGAGGTGCTGCGGATGGTCGGCAACCGGCGCGATGGGCTGAAGGGTGTTTTGTTGCGCGTCTGGGCGGGGTGAATTTGGATCATCATCCGCGAACCCGCGATGCTGGCCGCCGATATGGAGGCGCTGCAAGCCCGGCTAGAAGCGCTTCTGACCATCTCGATCACCATCGGCCAATTGACGATGGCGTGTAGCAGCACCGTCAGCATCACGCTGCGTCCTGAAGACGCCACAATACCCGCGATTTCATGCATCATGCCGACAGCCCGCTCTACAGCGCGGCGCCAGCGGACGGGCGAACGGCGGCGTGGCGGGGAATCGCCGGCACAGCGCCTGACCGGTCAAGTCTTTCCTAACGCGCTCAGACCCGCATATAGCGAGGCAATGTCTTCGCGCCCGCGTCCTTGTCCCTGAACTCCGCGCTCGGACCCCCTGATTATCGTGCCGGCCGCATGACGGTCCAGCCGGCCTCGATCGTCGCCATAGCCGCGCCAGTTGCTGGGCGTGGTGCCGAACCGAACGCATGCCCTCCGACGCGGAGGTCGGCGACAACCGCCTGCGTCCGCTGCAGGGCGTGGCTGATGCCCTGCCGACGCCCTTGCGCCGGTTGATCAGTGGACAGCGGATTATTATCTCGCCCCGCCCGCCGCCGTGTCGTGCGGATGGCCCTCCTCCACCTCGGCGCTGGAGGGCGCGCGGACCGTCACCGAATATCGCGTCACTGGCCATGTCCCTGACCGGCTGACGCCGCAGCGGGCGCAGGCGCTGGAGCGGATCGGCGACCGGCAGGGTCTGATCCGCGAGCTGGCGACCATGGCCGATGTCTCCGACGCGGTGATCCGGGGACTGGCAAGAATGGCGCGATCGAGGGAGTGGAGGTCGATATCGACAGCCTTCCGCTGCCCTGACCCCGGATCATCATCGGCCCGAACTGTCGGAGGATCAGCGCGCGCGGCGGGACACGCTGGTCGCGGGCGGCGGCGCATGCGTTTCAACCGGGTGCTACTCGACGGCGTCACTGGCTCGGGCAAGACCAGCTGAGGTCTATTTCGAAGGTGGCGGAGGCCGTCGCCGAAGGACGGCAGGTGCTGGTTCTGCTCCCGAAATCGCGCTGACCGAGCCGTTCTTGAAACGCTTCCACGACCGCTTCGGTTGCGAGCCGGTGGCGTGGCATTCGGTCTTCGCTCGTCGCAGCGACGGCGGGGCATGGCGGGCGATCGCCAGCGGGCAAGGCTGGTGACGGTCGGCGCGCGTTCGGCGCTGTTCCTGCCCTATCGCAATCTGGGTCTCATCGTCGTCGACGAGGCCTGCGAGACGAGCTTTCTCTGCAGGAAGATGGCGTCCATTACCATGCGCGCGACGTGGCGGTGATGCGGGGCAAGTTCGAACCCTGCCCGGTGATCTCGCCTCGGCCACGCCGGCGATCGAGACGCGGCAACAGGTGGCGCTGGGCCGTTATACCGAGGTCAAGCTGCCCGGGCCGTCTCGGCCCGCGCAAATGCCGACGACGATCGAGGCGATCGACCTGATCCAGAACCCGCCTGAACGCGGGCCGTTGGATCGCGCCGAAGCTGGTCGCGGCGATGAAGGAGACGCTGGAGAAGCGCGAACAATCGCTGCTCTATCTCAACCGGCGCGGATTTATGCCCCCGCTGACGCTGTGCCGACCTGCGGGCACCGGTTCCAGTGTTCCCAACTGCACCGCCTGGATGGTCGAGCATCGGTGCGACCTTGGCTGGCCTGTCACCATTGCGGCCATGTCACCCAACGCGCGCCTGCCCGAATGCGGGCGGCGAGGATCGTTGGTCGCCTGCAGCCCCGGCGTCGAGCGGATCGCCGACGAGGCCACCGCGCTGTTCCCCGGAGGCCAAGATCGCGGTCGTCACCTCCGACACCATCTGGTCCCCGCCAAGGCCGCCGAGTTCGTCGGGCGGATGGAGGCAGGCGATATCGACATCGTCGTTGGTACGCAGCTCATCACCAAGGTTATCACTTCCCCAATCTGACCTGGTCAGGGTGATCGACGCCGATCTGGGGCTGGACGGCGGCGACCTGCGCGCGGCCGAACGGACCTTCCAGCAGATCCCCGGCAGGTGTCGGGCCGGCAGGACGCGGGGCCAAGCCCGGCCATGTTTTCATCCAGACGCACAGCCCCCAAAGGCGCAGGTGATGCAGGCGCTGGTCACCGGCGATGCCGAGGCGTTCTACACGGCGGAGACCGAGGCTGTGCGTGATGCGGATGCCCTGCCCTTCGGCCGCTATGCCGCGATCATCGTGTCGTCGGAGGATCAGGGGGCGGCGCAATCGGCGGCCGAGATGATCGCCCGCGCGGCCCCCAAGGTGGATGGGATGCGTCTTCGGCCCCCGCGCCGCGCTGCGCCATGCTGCGGGGGCGGCATCGGTTCCGGTTGCTGGTCCATGCAAGGCGGGCGCTGGCGGTGCAGGATGTGATCCGCGAGTGGCTGGGCGGGCTGGAAATGGTCCGCCAAGGTGCGGGTCGCGGTGGATGTGGACCCGTACAGCTTTCTCTGACCGGACGATCGGAGAAGCTTGGTTCGCGCGGAGGCGAAGAGGGCGC